ATAGACAGGTCAAGTTTCGGTCGAATAAATGAAAAAAGCAAAATTTTGACCGAGACTTGACCTTTTACTTTCACGATTCATTTATCCGGTTGTATTCCCTGCATGATGAGATCAAGCTAAGCAATTCTCAATAAAAATCTCGTAGAGTCTTGGGAGTTTTTGCCGAAGAAAAATTTCGTTCTTGATTAGGGAGTCTTCAGTCTCGGTACATTCCTACTACCGACACAATATTCATTTGATGATAATAGAAACCGATCTAAAAGCCCATATACATCCTCAAACCAGAAGTTTCGCTCTATCAATTCATATAAAAAAAACGTTTTTTTTTCTACACTAAGCTGTTCTCCGAAAAAGACGTGCTCAATATAATGTCTTTCCACATGTACACGATGAGTCCAAATGATTTTGAACTCAGTTAGGAATTTGTTCTAGGTTTGGAAAAATATATAATCGACAAATCCCTGTATTAAACTGTATCGCATGATAAATAACACAAAGAAACTTTGAAGAAAAAATTTTCTCGAGAAAAATGAAAGCGACGGTTTCTCTCAGGCGTTTTTCATCGAAAAAATACTTTTGTACGTCATATCCAATGATTTTTGAATAAAGAAATATGTTTCCGAGCAAGAAAGTCACGCCTTTGGGTCACATGAAAAATCGACTATTGACATTAAATTTTGCATGATGAGATTAGTTCATTATGCAAGTTGTAATTTATCTAGCATCTTCTATCTTACCATATTGAATATTCAAAATTTTCTCATATGTAACTGTAAATTTTGTTTTCGAACTTTATATCTTTAGAAAGAACATGTTAGTTGCATTCTCAATTAATCTTATTAAGAGTTTTTTTTTTGTGCAAGATTTGAAATCGAAAGTCGATTTTCTATGTATTCTGACGAAGACAACAGCTTTTTGTTAAACAATCCATCTCGAGAACACAAGCTTGGAAAGGCAAACACTATCCTAGATTTACCTATTACTCATCAAATGAATATTATCTCAGTCAAAAACTGATTTAATATCTAAACAGATTTTCTTGTTAGACGAAAAATTCAAAAAAACATAAATCACAATGATTGAAGAATGTATGAAATAAAATATACAATCGATATTATTTGAAAGCTATAGATCAAATTGCAATTGAGATTAGAATGATTATTCGATTTCATTTTGATACTTTCATTGTTTGGTTGTTATTCGATTCAATATTAGATAATGTGTATGATGTCAAATTTAGTATCATTAATACAAACGATGGATGTATTTAGACATTTTATTGGTATTTGACGAGCATGAAATCCCATAGGATGGATGAGATGGAAACTCTTTTATTCCATATGGGACGAAATATTTGAAGATAGTTCCATCCTACATGAAACAATTCGCCATGGCTTATCCCATATGACCATATTTTTCGTTCTATCCCATCCCACGTAGAGCTCTGATATGTTTATTTATGTTAAATGATAGTAGTACATATTTGACAGTTACATAGAGAATATATTATATCCCGATTATTTAGCAATATATATATATATAATGTAAATTGATCATTTTACAGTTAATTTTATTTAGCATTATAAGTTCTTGTATTAAATAACATTTGACAGATTCATTAAAAAAAAAGAAAATATAATGTGTCTTATCGTAATATTTTCTATTGTATTCCATGGATACTAAATGCCCTCAGCACCAATTTCATGTAAATAAGATTTACCATCATAAATTTCTGTGTTGAATGATAATGATAATAATATAAGATAGATAAAGTCAAGAACTTGTCTTAGTTTATTATTATATAATACTTTTAGTCATATATTATACGTCCTCCATGTCAATTATGTTCGATTGAAGATTTAGTATGTTGAATATATATGTACTAAATGATAGAATGATGAATATAAAACTTGTTTTATGATGTCAATTGATATTATTTTTACCAAATGTTGTTTGCCTCAATTATTAATATATTTATCATCAAGGTCTTATGTCATGAGTATCTATCTAGGATCATTGTCGAGGACATATGACAGAGCAGTAAAAAAAAAAAAAAAACTTTGTCTCATCATATTACTATTTAATGATTTACTTAGATATCTATCACCTTGATATATGAATTGTATTTGATTAAAGGTCAAGTATTATGATTGTCTATATTAAATGATATTATAGAATAATACAAAAATTTCTCTCATATTGTTAATTTGTAATGCATGAACAATATTATTTCATATAAGATTAAATATCGCGAATCTTTGCTATAAATAATTATGATGAATATGTAATAGATCAATGTAGAATTTGGCTTATCATGTTATTTTGTCTGTAACTTATTAGTTAAATGTTATATATCGGAAAGTTCTATGTTCAATGATTACAAACAACTAGAGATATGCGATTTTCACCAATTGATAGAGAAAAATGAAAGAATCAAGAATAAGTTATATTTTAATGATACTATATATCTTAAAGATTCGTTTATAAGATAATGAGACTTTAATAGGTTTTTCTAATTGTTGTGCTATGAATATACATAGGCTAGAGTATTTTCTATCGATCTATATAGACCCAATTTTTTATAGTTATTGCAATTCAAGAGATATACCATTATTATTGAAGTTTACTAGATTCGTTATTTTTCACTAAGTGTTCTCCAGAAATAACGATGCTAACTGAGAAATTTATTGTAGTTGATTAACTGTATTTACATCTATTTTCAGATTACTTAAAAGTAGAAGATAAGATAATGAATAAATTTCAATAAAAAATCGTATATTTTATAGATCGATTGATGAAAACCGTAGGTTTCTAATTGTTTGTGTTCTTGAGTTACTTGAAAAAAGAAAACAGTAGAGTACATTGTAACATCTTCGGGTCAATAGAGTTTTCAAAAAAAATAAAAACAATATACAGTAATAATATGAGAAAACTCTTCATTCAAAATTTAATTTATAAATTATAAAGTTCTCAGTTCATGAATAGTTCTAATACATTTTCTATTTGAAGATAATAATTTCTTTTTTTTTGTTTTTGTCAATAAATCATTTAGTCGATGTTCTTTAATAAATTTCTAAGAGTAGGATAATTTCTAGATAGGGCATATTTTAATAGCAAATTCTTTTCAATGATTCTATTTTAATATCAGTAAATCTAATCAATCATCATTCGGAAAAAACAAAAATTCTTGTCGCACATGCGTTCACAATCCTGAAAACGATTTGTTCTTATTTGGACATCGTACTTCGATGTTTGCCTGAGGATACAATAGACTATATAATTGTATTGATAATAATGGATTTTATACAAAAAAGGAAATTATCTTTAACTTGTATCAATTTCTTTTTTTTGACTATCTTACTGAATGATTGTCATATTCAACATCATATTGCTAGTAAACATTCAGTTTATAAAGCAAATTCAATTTCATATATACGAACAATTAATTATATGGCTATTTGCAAATCATAGATATTATATATAAGTAAAAAGAAACATTAAAGAAATATGTAATCATGAATGTATAAAATGATTTAACACTTCTATATGTTAATAGCTTTTGTCTGTCAAACTAATATTTATTACTGCAGGTTATGATCTTCAGATGACTATAGTCTTACGATATAATCAATATATATATATATATATTTTATTACCATATAAAAGTGTAAAAGACATCATAAAAGAAAAAAAAATATTGTATTCTGAATTTTTGCATTTAAAAACTTTTAGTAAGTATCATTTCCATTAGTCAGAAGTGACTCTTTTTTTTTTGTTCTTTACTCATTAATTTAATTTCATCGATAAGGAAAAATCGTCTAGATCGAAAATAGAACTTCAACTTTTGCATCTCTCTATTATCATAAATCATGATAAAATTCTGAACAGCTTGTATAAAAGAAATCTAGGTGTTAAAAATTACAAGAAAAATTTTAAAGGAAGATTTGTATCTGTAGAAATGAATGCCCATTTCAAAAAACAAGACGGGTGGATATTTTTCGAATAACTTTTGATAAAAGCAAACCCAAGAGCTGCAGTTTTCATCATTGGAAAGAGGCGGCGACGGCGCATCGAACTGTGTATTATAAGATAATTCAACTTAGTTTTTTCAAGGATTTAAAACCACGTTTTTGAAAACGAACATATTTCGTAAGGTAACTAAAGTGAATTTTCAATAGTTTGATGTACATTCGAACGGCTAACAGAAGATCTACAAAGTTGTGCAAGGCCCTGACTTTAGATTTAGTTCTTTTAGAGTGATAGATATTCTAATCGAAATTCTGAGCCCGATTTTTCTATTAATTTTCGTGAAAAATTCATTTTTTTTAGAAAACTCATTAAGAAAGCTTAGTCGAAAAATCTATATTATACGATTCGATGGGCTGTCATCTCCTCTTTCCAACGGTGATAATCGTAGCTTTCTATCTTGCTTATATCAAAAGTTATTCGAAAAATATCCATTCGCCTTCTTTTTTTGAAATGAGCGTTAGTTTTGAACTTTTCATTTGATTGATAGACACATAAATTATGCTTCGTATGTTTTTAAGATACGATATTCATTTCAAATTTTTATCTCTATAATTCTAATAAATGATAGAGTCTACTCACACTTGAAAATGAATATCAAATAATCATATTTTGATAAAAATTTATTAACATAAGTCTAGATAGAAATTTCCATTTGTATGTCAAAGAAAATTAAAATATTTCATAACTAAATTTATTCAATTAGTTTCTTTTCTATAGACACTCTTCTACGGACTATGTTCGATGTTGGTGTACGTCATCTGTATAAATATACGATAGATGGAGAACGATGAAGGAAAGGATTCTAAATGGTTGCCATATTTTATTAAAAAAAACACGTCGATATTTTCTACTATATCCATTTTTATAAATAGCAAATACATAAATTAATATATGAATATTAATAAATATTTTTTGCATGTTGTTTTTTTTTATAAACAGTAAATATCAAGTCATCGTTTTTTTTTAGAAAAATGTCATTTATTGAAGGTATTGGCGATGATCTTCTCTATACGTTTTGTTTCATTCTATTTATCGGTACTGTATCACTTGCGTGGCTTTCATCACATGTGAATAATATTCATTTACCTACTACATTATTTATTATAGAACGACGAACACATCGAAGAAATGGTAGTGTAAATTTAATATAAAATAATTATTTTTGTTTTTCTTTGTTTTATAACAAACAAAAAAAATAATAATTTTTATAGAAGAACAATCCGAAAGAATCAATTCAATTTCATCACCAAATCAACAACAACAACAACAACAAACAATATTATCATCTGTTAATGAAACAATAATAGAACATGAATCAGATATTGAGTATGATATTAATAAAAAAAAAAAAGAAAATTATAATTTTTGTATATTTCTTACATTTAGATCAAATGAAAATGATGAACAAACATCAATATCAATAGAATCTAATACTAATCAAATACAACAAAATGAATCGAATAATAATATAATTAATTCAAATGAATCTATTTCACAAATAACAACTAATGAAGAAGAAGAAAATCAAATATTAAGAATTACAATTAAATTTCTTAATGATACTCAAAAATCAATAATAGCTAATCAAAATGATACAATTTTGAAAATCAAAAGGTGAATAAAATATTTACATAATCGAAAGTACATATAACTGAATTTATAATAAAAGATAAATAAATGTCATGAAGCATTCATAATTTTTTCATTTCAACTATAAATCATTTCTAAGAAATCAGTAATATAACATAAATCAAAACTAATAATGATTCTTAACTTATAAAGAGCTACAGTTTCATATTTCATGAGCCTAGATATTCGGGTTATCGGAATTTCGCAAACTGGATTTTCGCCAATTGGCGAATATTCAATGAACTTTCTTGAGTTTTAGTAGAACGGTAGTATTGATTAGAGAAATTGATATAAACAATATTCTTAACTGTATGACTTGAGGTACATATTTATAATGCTAGGCATAGTTCTTGTACATCACTTATGATATGAATGTTCTACTACCATTAATGAAAATCTATGCGACTTTCGCTAATACATCTCTGGATTTTCGCCAATAAGTGGCAAAGTTCCGAAATCCCATATATTCATAGTATTATGTTCTGTAGATAAGTGTTAAATAGTTACTATCAATGACTAGTAACAATATAATATTAAATTTTAAAAATAATTTTTATTTAGATTATATTTTGCTGATGAATTAGCAAATAATAAAATTATTCGATTTATTTATCAAGGTCGTGAATTACAAGATAATGAAACTCTTTATACATGTAATATACATGATGAAACTATAATTCATTGTCAAATAAGTACACGACGACATTCAACAAATAATCAAATTAATGATGATATATCAACAATACATATTAATTCAAATAATTTTGATACATTATCATTTATTGATACATCAACAATTAATATTTCACCATATTTTCTTTTTTTTATAACATTAATTCTTGGATCTATATGGTATTTACGTATTAAATATCGTTTATTATTTACACCTATAACAACAATTATTCTTTTATTAATAACAATTATACTTTTAATATTTATATGTGGTATTTTATTAACAACACGTCGACAAATATTAGATAGAAGAATTCCAACACATTTACAACATGTTCATCTTGATTGAATATTTGTTTTATGTTGTTTTCTTTTTTTTCTTTCTCATTGTTAATAGATTATATTTATTTATTTATTTTTTTGTATGAATTGTACACTTGAAAATAGTTTGAGTATTAATTCTCATCGTTTTGTATAATATTTTATCAAATTGAGTTAATATATTATAATATATCAATTTCATTATGTTTTATTTTTGAATGTAAATTTTATTGATATAGAAGAAGTTTTAAAGTTAACTGTTTAGAATCGAATATAGAGTTTTGAGCTTAGATTTTGAGTTTAAAATTTCTTAGAGAATTCCTTGCATGTCCTATAAAGGATTAATTTTATAATCAAAATGAAAATCTAAGACTTATAAACACTCGAAAAGTTTTCTACATCTTTATCAAGAGATAGAATCTTGTTTATTCTAATACAATGTGTCTGTTTATCAGACTACATATATATTGATGTCTTAGAGAGATAATCGATATTCAAATAGTTTCTAAATCAATCTCTTACAAACCATATATTATTTGAAAATAATTGTGATACTTTTTGTTTTAGATTTATCAAGATTTCTATTCAATGGTATGAATTAACAAAGTTAGTTATACAATAAAAATTTAATATTTATTAAAATTCAGATAAGAATAAAACAAAAACAAAAAAAAAATTATCTTATTAAGTAAAACATATATCAGTCGTTAATCATTTCTTTTAATAATTACAACAAAAAGATAAATCTTTTCTTTTTTTAATATTATTTCCTATTAATCCTGAATTAATTTGTTCGGATGTTCTTTTAGGTAGATGTATATTTTTTTTTGTTGAAAAATTTTCATTTTCTTCTAAACGATTCATAACTAAATCCAATAATAATTCAACTGATTCAGCAACATTTACATTTTGTAAAGCACTTGTTTCAATATATTCAACTTGAGTTTGTCGAGCAAATTCAAGTGCACGTGCTTTTGTTATAATACGTTCTGTATCTAAATCACATTTATTACCAATAAGTATCATATCAACATTTTCTGAATAAGCATTTGATTGTATTTCACTTATCCAATTACGTACATTAAGAAATGATGTTTCATTTGTTAAATCAAATACTAATAAAAAACCCATAGCATCACGAAAAAATGATGTTGTCAAACTTCGATATCGTTCTTGACCAGCTGTATCCCTATTTTATTAAAGAAAATACATGAAGATTAAATAGTAGTATTCAATTCAATATCTTCTAGCTGAAACCATAGGACAATATCAAAGTAGGCAACTGTTTTTTTTTTTGAGCCGTCACTTTTTGATAAAATGTTATAGTTCATAGAATCTTAACTTAATAAAATTAGTTAATTAGCTGAGAAGAAAAGGGTGTTGCTTTTTTTTTTGATGACTACATAAGTGGTTGTGTTCGATAATAAGTTTGTAGGCTTCTATTTGCGTCTAATTAGGGAAGCCATTTAACTAATAAATCGATTTTCACTCAAGACTACGTGCACTAAGCTTACTACAACTGAAATACTGCACTTTTACAATACGTTTTAAATGAATGTCATGATCCTCTTCAGCAAAACTGAGAATTATTTAAGTTTCTCAAAATTTAAATCAAATCGAAATCGAGATCGATTTAAAAAGCTGTGTGAATCGATCCTCTCGTCATTATTTCGAAACATCAAGGAAGCTAATTTTCGAGTTTCAATTTGAAATTTTCAATACAAAAAAATCATTAAAGAGAATATATATTTTTTTTGCAAATGTTTCAACTCTTGTTATTATTTCTTTTCAAAACTGTAGCTATCATAAAAACATGTCAGTTCCATTGTACTATCAGATTCGAATCTAAATCCACTAAGCCATTCTTTATTAGTTATTATGTCTTAGCAAATTTTCGAAATCAAAATTGGACAAACAATTTTGATAGTATTCGTACGACATTCATTTCAAAACTACAGTTCAAATTTAAAAGCAGATTTATTATGTTAATTCAATTCTTTTAAAAGTTATATCCTATTAACAACTTTTTCGAGCTCCATCAGATGTAATATATATCATAAGTTGTAAATTTAAAACGAATGAATTTTCATGATAATCATTATATATTATTCACAGGTAACATTCTTTTTTTTTTCTTTTCATTTTGAATAGGTAAAAGAATGTTAGAGAAACCTCTCTGACAGTGATGCTTAATCGAAAGTTGAAGAACGAAAAAAAAAAGAAAAAGCATCAAACTTGCACTTTTCGATAATTGGTTTATCAAAAAATATTGTCCTCTACAAAAGACATGATTTTGAATAATGAAAAAAAAAATTTTTTCTTACCATAATTGTAAACTAATACTATAGGATTTATTTGTTTTATTTGATTTATAAAATATTGTTTTATCACGAATATCAATACCAACAGTTGTTCCTAATGTTTTTATATATTCACCATCAATATATTGATTTAATAAGCAAGTCTATTAAGAAAAAGTAAATTAGAAAAAAAAAAAACAAAAATTTAATTACTTACTTTACCAACACCAGAATCACCAATAGCTAAAAATTTTAAATCAAAATGATCGTCCATTGCACGTGGCATGTTGGCAATCGTTACCAATGATACTTACAAATATACTGTCGTATTTTATGAATAAATAAATATATATATATAAAAGAATGAAAGAGAACGGTGATGTTGGCAAACAACAAAATCGCTCATTCTTTTTCGTTGCTTTTTCTTTTTTTTTTTCATTTCATAGAATTTTTTTTTTTTTGTTTTTTTTTCTTGTAGATGATCGACGGTAGTGGTGATAGCGAATACTCATCAGCAAGTGAAACATTAAATGATGATAACTATGTGTCAGAAACAACAGTGAAAATTCGACATACATTATCACTTAATAAAGAAAAAGCAGCACCACTTGCTACAAAGTATGATTTTATATTTTTTTTTTTTGTATGAGAAAAAAAAAGATTATTGTATTTTGTTTTTGTTGTTGAAAAGGTGGACTTTTTGGCTTGATTCACAAAAATCAAAATTTACAACAAAAGAAGATTATGAAGCCGGTCTTCAAATAATATTTGCTGTAAGATATTATTATTTAAACAAAATATAAATTTTGATTATTTTCAAAAATTAATTTAGGTCGAAACTGTTCAAGAATTTTGGAGCGTTTTTAATAATATACCAGGTAAAAAAAAAAATATTATTTCATCTATTTTTTTTTGTTATATAAATTTTAAGCACCAAGTCGATTATCAAATCGAGTTAGTTATCATTTAATGCGTCAAAATCGAAAACCACTTTGGGAAGATAGAGAAAATGAAAAGTATGTTATAATTTTTTTAGGAAAAATTTGAAATTTTCAAAACAAGTAAATCTTGATGAAAGTGTTTTCTATAATGCGCTGAATTTATAGTGATTCTCTCGTTTCTATTTTCGATCGAATTGAAAGTAAAATCTTCTTTCTCAAAAACCGAAGAAACAAATATGTTTTCAAACAAAATATGAACTAATAGACAGTTTTCGCTAGTTCTTTTTAATGACGAAAGAGAATTTTTTTTTTGGTACTCAGAAATGTACTATTCATTTCTCTTAGAAGATCCTCCTTTTGCTGATTTTACCATTACAAAAAGAAAATGATTATAGATTTTTTTTTGAAACAATTTGTTTTCCTAAAAGACTTTCCGACTCCTCAAAAGTTACTTATGGGTCATGTATATTTCAATTGCATGAAGTTTTCAGGATGTGATAGAAAAACTAAAAATATCTTGATCTAACAATTTGAAATTCTTTGTAAATATTTCATTTTTTGTTTTCTATAAGAAGCAGCAGCTCAATATATCGAGAAAAAAAAAATCTTATTTTAATTATAAAATTATTCTTTCATATAAAATAGTAACGAAGTTATATTCAAAAAAGAAAGACAATACTTTGTCATGTTTTGTATCTTGATACGTTCATGAAGTTCTATTGAGAATTCTAGGATACGAGATTAAAAAAAAAAGTTTCCCTGATTTTTTATATAGGTTCTTAAAACAGAAATCATCATAATAAGAAAAATTTCTAAATAAAAGGTTATGTCATTTATGAAAGATCAAGCCTCGAGCTATGTTTCTATATATTAATCTTAATATTGAATAATTCTATGATAAAAATTGACTTTTTTTGTGTAAAGAGAACTTGAGTAATTATATAAATCACTTCAACTATTTTAGACACATTCTATATGTAAGAATATAAAATTTTTTTATTTCACACTTTGAAAAATATTGTGCAAATGATAAACTATGATTTCCCTAAAGAATTCTAGTCTTGAATATATCTTCCAATTAGTTTTACTTATAAAATATTAACTATTTGATGTTATCTATTTTTTTTTGGCTTTTCACTATAAAAAAAAAAAGAAGAAAATCAACTTGATTTTATATTCATATATCACATGAGAAATAATCATAAAATAATAAAAAAAAAATCCAATTATATATCAACAATTAATTGACGACTTTCGAATAAAAGAAAATAACTAGCCTATAAATTTAATATAAAAAATATTTTTCTTTTTTTTTTTTTCCTCAGTGGTGGTATTTATACATATCGTTGTCCAAAAGATAAAACAAATACTGTCTGGCAAGAATTATGTTTAGCTGCTATAGGTGAACAATTTTCAGTAATTGAAGGTGATGATGTTGTTGGTGTAAGTGTACAATCACGTGATGGTTTACAAGATCTTGTACAAATATGGAATTCAAATCCGAGTGAACAAGCACAAAATTTAATTGATGAAAAAATTCGTAATCTTTTTCCTGATATAAATTTTACTATTAAATTTTATAAAGCAAATTCATCACATGCAAATTTTGAAGCTGGTAATCAACAAAAATCAAAATATTCATCATAAATAGAAGAAGAAGAAGAAAAACAAGAAGTTTATTATTCTTTCTTTCTTTCTTTCGTTTTTTTTTGTTGTGTCAGTTGTTTGTTTGTTTTTACATGGATTTGTAAATTTTGTCATCATTTCTTGTCTTGACAGGCTTTCTTTTGTTTTGTTTTTCTCTTCTTTCCTATTTTCTTTTTGGTAAGACCTATTGTAGATTGCTAGAATTATCTATTTTTCATTAAACATGATGCTCTATGATGTTATGTGATCTTTTTAAGCCAAGCAATGTTCGTTTATTTTCTTTTTTTTTTTTTTTTCTTTTTGTATGAAGTAAGAAGAGAGTTGCCTAAAACAAAAACCAACATATTGTAATTAATCACAAATAAAGATTAGTGATAAGTTTAACAGCTTAAATGATATGATTTTGCCTTTATAAATGTCTATAAAAATAAAATTGAAAAGATAAAGAAACAATGTGTCATTGATTAATCTATAGAATTAAATATGTCAGAATTCATGAAATTCATGTGAATGAGTCTAAAAAAAACATTGAATTCATTTATATATCGTTTGTTTCTTTCTCAAATCTAAAGTTTAGCTCTGTTTTAGTTACTTATAGATATTTGAATGTCTATATTAAATTCAGATTAATTATTAGAATCGATAAGAAATAATTCAGAATGAATAAAATTCTTTTAGATAGCAGCATTAAAAATAAAATCAATGCTTCTTTATCATGATTTACGATGTTTTTCATAGATCTATTAATATTATTAAGTATAAAAAAAAAAAAACATTGTCCAACAAAAATTAACCTTTATTAAAAAATAACGAATGCGTTAGAATAAATAAGTCTCTGAATATCTCTGTCAATATAAGAGATTCAGCATTCCATTCTCTACAATAACATAGATAAATCTATGTCATACAATTACAAGTAGAAAAAACTTATTACACAAACATGTGTCATTAAGAAGTCTTAAGTATAAATATATAAACTGATTTATGTTTCTTTCTCATGAATGAAGTACTGTATAAACTCTTTAAATATAGAACTCAGGTACAGTTAAATATATTCTATCTAACAACAAGTAGATGAGAACATATTGACCTAGAATATTGACATAAAATTTAATATTTAGATAATCGATTCACATCTGCCAATACTGGATCTCTCTCTCTTTTTTCTCTACTTGAACCTAGTCGAAAGGAAAAAAACATTTATTCCAAATGAAGTAGACTTCTATAGTATGATTCAATAGCTTGTAAGTAAAAATAAATTATACTCCAACAAAAAAAAAAGAATTTACGGCTGATGAAAGAATCTCTTCAGATGTCAAATCGTTGTTTTCTTTTTTTTTGACTGAGACAATGTTTATTCGATAAGTAATAGAAAATTTTCGAATGATTTGATTTACAAGATCACCGTTTTCAAGATGTAGTATCTTTCATATCATATGAAAAATCGATTTCTCTCATATGATCTGAGAGTGACTACAACTTTTTTTTTGTTGAATAATCTATCTTGAAAAAGTAAACGATGTTTTTCTATTACTTATCAAATGAACATTGTCTCGATTGAAAAAAAAAACTTGATACTTTAAAAAATTTTCTCTTGAATTATAGAAATTTTTTCAAGAATAAAAAAAAAAACATTACAATACAAAGATGACTTTTTAAAAAAAGTCAATGTTATTTTGCGCTCGATAGAGATTTTCTTACGTATTAAATTTCAATATTTTAGAATAACATAATTATTGTCATATTTTCATTTAATTTTTCTTCTTTCCAATCAACTTTTATTTGTACTATGTTCTAAAGTTCACATGTAACAAATTTGTCTATTTTGTTAATCAATATTTAAACTGTAAATATTTGATATTGACATACAATAAACTAAAACATTAATTATTACTGAAAAGTTTTATTGTAGCAAGTAGATGATGAAAAATAAAATACTTTTTTGATGAATTTTAAGTATAGATTATTATTCTATTTGATTGAAATATTTTATATTATGTAGAAAATTATTTTTTTCTATATAAGATATAATCTTTCTTCAAGATGAATTCTATCAAAATTGTTCAATATAATTTTAATGTTTTTTTTTTTTTTATTTATTTTATAAGAATTTTTTCTTCTTCTAGTTTTAATATTTAACATTATTCTAACTAAATCAATCTTAATGAAAATACATGAAAATATATGTTTCAATTTGAAATTTGTTGTTTAAATAATGATATGACAAAAACATATTTTTTTCTTTTTGTTTTTATTCTAAATCAAGATGTCATATTAAATAGATATATGTTTATGAATTCATTGAAAAGAAAATGTTTATAAATTTTGTATGAATAGTTTATTTTTGGAAATAGGTGACAGATAAATTATATCAACAGTAGATAATATATATTATCATATACCTGATTGACAGAATAAGACAAGAGAAAATATTTGGAAAATTATCTGATACAAAGACAGACAGATTTATCTGATAGAAAGAAAGATAGATATATTTAGATATGTATATAATAGAAAGAGAGCAAGTATAATAGTTTATAACATAATTTTTTTCTTCAAGTATATTTCGAAATACGTTCTATAACAATAATGTTTTTGTATCCATTATTTTCGTTTTCATTGTATTAAATTATGAAACTCAATTAATGTCATAATAATTATTTCCGAAATTACAATCATATGAGTTATTCAAGTGACG